AACGAAAATAACCATCCACTGGGTGGCTTGTAAACAACCGAAATTTACTTGTCCCGGTTCTAGAGGCTGGAAGCCCAAGGTCAGGTTGCTGGCTGATTAGGTGGCGAGGGCTACTTGCTCATGGACGGCGTCTCCACTGTGACCTCACACGCAGAAAGGCTGAGCTAGCTCTGTGGAGTCTGTGTTATGCAGGCACTCGTTCCAGTCGTGAGGGTGGAGCCTTTATGACCTAGTCACCTCCCAAAGGCCCCACCTTCTCCTACCATCACTTTGGGGGTTAGGATTTCAACATACGAATTTGAGGGAAAACGGACATTCAGACCATAGCTCCAAGGAAGCCTGGAGGATGGGACCAGAGCTGTCTCTGCTGCTGGAATGATGCTGAGAGGAGCTGGGAGCAGCAAGGAAGCCCCACTCTCTCCCTCCTGCATCCCAGGCTTGCTGCCTGCTCACAGCTGGAAGGGGGCTAGGAGGGCAGCACCCAGACCGGAGCAGGAAGGGTGGGGCTGAGAGCCGAGAGATGAAAAGCAAATAACTGACATGGTCACCTGGTCCTCTTCCTCCCCCCGCCCCCCGTGCTTCTTGTTGGGAAACTGGAACCCAGTCTGGATCCTGGGTTCCCCTGGGTTCCTCGCGGTGTCTGAATTGTTCCTCTAAGCTCTCTGTTTGCTGTAGTCTGGAGGTTGGATCACACTTCCTAAGGGCTGTCCGGGTCTTCCTGTGCGCCGTCTGCCTGTCTCACGTGGCTGATGCTAACGTAACAGGCCCAGACGGTGCAGCCTGCCCTCCTTATTCTCAGCGTCTGTCAATCGGCCCGCCCGTGGGTGACCCCTGCCTGAGCCAGCTCCCCCATCAGAGCTGCCGAAGGGCCATCTTCCAACCCTGTCCTTCTACATTCAGTGGCGGAATTCTCCGAAGAGCTTCCATCCATCCAATTAGGCTCAGTTTGGTGCCTCTGAAATAAGTTCACACCAGAAGGCCAGCGGAAACGCTTCTCTCTTCCCCTTTGATCACCGGGTTTTAGAACAGGTGTGCCAGGGACAACGGTGCTGGCCGCCCGACCAGCCTTCTCACACCACAACCCCCCCCACACACACCCCTCCTGCTTCTGTTATGAACCCAGTACTTTTTGTATGTTCGATGTGAGCTAGGCAAGTCCAGTCTTTTTCTTTGACAGACGGGAGGGGCCCACATGATGTGATAGTTGGCTGCATGGAGGCCTTCAAGCCCCTGATGGCCTCTGTTCCCACTTCCTGCCTCAGAACCTCTCTTCTCTCCAGTGGGGGTGGGACTGAGAGGCCCCGGGCAGAAATGGAAAATCCCTTTATAAATTATTTTCTCACTTATTTCCACTTTACTACTTGAGAGCTCATTGCAGAGATCACAACCCTTCACTCTCAACTACTTTAGCATGGGATACAGGCATTTTTTAAGAAAAGTAGTGCATCCACACTTAGGTTTCCAATTCAAATTTTAAGATTATAAAATTTTTTACTTAAATTCTTTGATTTTACCTCTTTTAAGATGAAAATCCTGTTTATCATTATTTGCTTTCTCCTACAGGATACGTATGATTATTTGAGAATAATAATATTGTTATTAATAAGACTACTGATTGAAGTTTCCTTTTTCTTTTTGCGGTACGTGAGCCCCTCACTGCTGTGGCCTCTCCCGTTGCGGAGCACAGGCTCCGGACGCGCAGGCTCAGCGGCCATGGCTCACGGGCCCAGCCACTCCGCGGCACGCGGGATCCTCCCGGACCGGGGCACGAACCCGCGTCCCCCGCATCGGCAGGCGGACTCTCAACCACTGCGCCACCAGGGAAGCCCTGAAGTTTCCTTTTTTGCTGTTGTTTTTACAGCTTTTTCATTGAAGATGTAAAGTTAAAATATAGTTGGAATAATTGATTGCTCTGGGTGCTTGTGTCACCAACTTGATAGAGAAACTCATTTGTTTAATTTTTTAAAGTTGACTGTTTTCTTAAGTTAGCTTTGCTTATGCAGAACATCCTACGTGACCCTATTGTCAAAAGTGTAAAACAAGGGACTTCCCTGGTGGCGCAGTGGTTAAGAATCCGCCTGCCAGTGCAGGGGATGTGGGTTCCAGCCCTGGTCAGGGAAGATCCCACATGCCGTGGAGCAACTAAGCCCGTGCACCACAACTACTGAGCCTGCGCTCTAGAGCCCGCGAGCCACAACTACTGAGCTCACGTGCCACAACTACTGAAGCCCGTGCACCTAGAGCCCGTGCTCCGCAACAAGAGAAGCCACCGCAATGAGAAGCCCGCACACCTCAACAAAGAGTAGCCCCTGCTCACTGCAACTAGAGAAAGCCCGCGTGCAGCAACGAAGACCCAACCCAGCCAAAAATAAATGAATAAACATAAATAAATAATTTATTTTTTGAAAGTGTAAAACAAGATAAATTTTGTTTCACGTGGGTGTATAGCCCAGCTGCTGAGTGCCCCACCAGGCAGCCCTGCCATGGTTTATCCAGCAGACACCCTGGTGCTGGGCATCTGGGTTGTTTCCAGTCTTTTGCTGATCAAATAATGTCACAGTGAATAACTTTATGTACATGGCATTTTGGACTTTGGCCAGCGTAGCTCTGGGATAGTCCAGAGGTAGCCAGTCCGAGGGTAAATGCATCTATGACTTGTCCAAGTGTTGCCCCTCCCCCAGGGACTGTGCCATTTTGCTTCCCAGCAGTTGTGTGAGGGGACTTGCCTCCACCAACAAGAGTCTGTTGTCAGATTTGGATCTGGGCCAACCTGATCGGCGAGAAATGAGATCCTGCACGCATTTCTTTTTTTTGGTTGCGCCACACCGCATGTGGGATCTTAGTTCCCCAACCAGGGATTGAACCCACACCCCATGCAGTGGAAGAAGCGTGGAGTGTTAACCACCGGACCACCAGGGAAGTCCCTGCATTTCTCTTTTTTTGTCTTTTTCTTCTCGACTTTCGAAGCTTTTAAGTTCTTGTGAATTATAAACATTAATCCTAGTATTCCTGATTTTCAATGACCACCTTTCATGGAGGTGAAATGCACGGTTACAGCATGAACTTCACTCTTCCACAGTGTCCACAGGTGTACAGTTGAGTGGTATGTAGTACATTCTCAGTGTCATGCAACCATCTACCCTGTCTACTTCCAGGACACTTCTGTCACCCCAAGGAGAAACCCGTACCCATTAAGCCACTCCCAGTCTCTCCCCCCACCCCGCCCTTGCTTCCTGTCTCAAGTCGCAGATACTTTTGAAAATGTTAAATGTTATTGTTTTTTTCCCAGAAAGTATTTTGTCTTTTCTTGCTCCTGGATTTTAAATCATGTTGAGGAAGACTCTGCTCACTCCCCAGTTAGGAAGAAATTCACCCATTGTTTCTAGAACTTGTTTCATTTTTCATGCTTGGCTGTTGGATCCGTTTGGAATTTGTTTTGTGTCTAATGTGACATACGCATTCGATTTGGTCTCTGAGTGTTAACTGGTTTGTCACATTTGCTCACAAGCCCGGCTCTTCCCACCTCATCATGGACTTGGTTCTCCAGGCACAGGGGGTCTGTCTCTGGGGGTCCCGTGACCCTGCGCCTGCCTGTCTACATGCATTTGGCCTGGGGCCTGGTGGTCCAACAGCAGACTCAGAGGCAGAGGCCTAGACCCTCCTCATTTCTCTTCTTTGAAGGGTTTTCCCGGCTGTTTTTGCCCTTCACCCCCACCCCCACCCCCACCCCCACCCTCACCCCACCTCATAGGAAACTTTTTTTTTTTTTTTTTTTGCGGTACGCGGGCCTCTCACTGTTGTGCTCTCCCGTTGCGGAGCACAGGCTCCGGACATGCAGGCCCAGCAGCCATGGCTCACGGGCCCAGCCGCTCCGCGGCATGTGGGATCTTCCCGGATCGGGGGCACGAACCCGCGTCCCCTGCATCGGCAGGCGGACTCTCAACTACTGCGCCACCAGGGAAGCCCTATATGAACTTTATAATTAGCTTGTTTAGATCCAGAGGGGGAAAAACATTCTGATACTTTCATAAGGATTACGTTAAATTTACAAAGCTACTTATAGAGAACTGTCTTCTTTATGAGATCGTTTTCCTCTGGAACATGGGATTTCTTCTGTCCTTCCAAGTCCAGGGTGTCTCTGAGGTACCTTCAGAGTTTGCCTCACATAGGGTTTCGCATTTCTCACTCCGTTTATACCCCGGAATGTCATCTTCTGTTGTTGTTGGAAACGGGGTGTCTCCTCTACTGCAGCCTCTAACCCAATGTCCACGCAGATGCCTGGTCTCTCTGAGTGACCTTAAATCTGTGGCTTCCCTGACTCAGCGTCTGTAACATCACTTTCCCAGGCTGGAAACGTACCAAGGGATCCATCCTAGTGACGGAAGCAGGGTGGCAAAGGGACCTTCCTCTCCTCCCGCCCGCTTCCTTCCCTCTCGTCATCTGCCAGACTTCCCACTGCGAGCGCCCCTGGGTCCCATGCAGACAGAGCAGGCAGAGCTTGGAGAGGTGATGGGCTTGCAGGGGCGGCCGCCCCCTGGGAGGAAGCTGAGGAGAGGGGTCCTGTGGGGGGCCGTGGGGCCAGGAGGTGGGCGATGGGGGAAGGGGGGCAGCCCCCCTTGTGCACGGCAACCTCGCCTTTGGGCTCTTCCCCAGGAGGCTGGATGGGGAAGGGAAGACCCTAGCGGCCGTCTGGTCCACCCTGAGTCGTACGGAAAGGGAACCGGGGCTGAGAGAGGCCGCGTCCAACACCGTGTGCCTGCTGCCAGGCCAGAGGCGGGGGGCGGCGGGGGAGGGGGACTGAGGAACGTGGGGCGCAGCTGCTGGTGCACGCACGGTGGCAGCACGTGCAGGCGTGTATGCACGCAGGCCCAGTGTGGCACAGGGCAGCACAAGTTGGCCTTGGTGAGGGAAGACGTGTGCCTGTGCTCCATCACGTCGGGCCGGCCTGCCATCTGTCGGGTCCCTGGCAGTCGCAGGACAGGTACCAGGAGCAGACGGGGTCACCCTCCACGGCTGCGGAACTTTATTGGGATCGGACAAACACACCATCCTTCTCGGTCGTGGGCTCCCGCGTCCACAGGACCCTGCCACACAGAGACCCACCCCGGTGCGCGGGGGACACGCCCTCCCTCTAGAAACAGGTTCAGTAACCACCACACGAGCCTTAGGCCCCACGTGCAGAGTCAGTAACACTCCACAGCTCCTCCGGCCTCGAGAGTCACCTTCAGGCCCAGAGTCCAGGCCCCCTGCCCAGGAGGACCGAGGCCAGCTCATGTCCTGACGTGGGAACCGCACACAGATGGGGCCCAGCTCCCTTCCTTCAGGGCCTGGGACGTGACCCTGACTTTCTGGCTCTAGAAAGAAGGGGACCAGCGGGGGTTCCGGGGGAGGGGGAACAATGGGGAAGGGCCCCTGTCGGCCCTGAAGCCCAGCTCCAGGGCCAGGAAGCCCCCCTCTTCCCTGTCCAGAGGGCCTGGGTCTGTGGAGGAGGGGCTCAGGGCAGGGCTTCCAGCTTCGACGCGGGGCTCCGAGGGTCTTCCTGGCTTGGGTGGGGCGGAGGGTGATGCTTTCGGGGGCCGAGGGCCTCCCACGTAAAGGGGCCGGGCTGCGGCCCCTGCCCAAGCCAGCAGCTCATCTCTCCGGCAGCAGCATGAAGAACGCAGCCTTCAGGAAGCGGCCACAGCTGCAGAGCGCGGCCACGAGCCAGTGGGAGCGGAGGCCGGGGTCGGTGCTGACCACGCACTTGAGCACATCCGTCTGGGAGGGAAGAGGGGGCAGTTAGAGAGTGGAGCGGAGAGGGTGCGGCCTGTGCCCCCCGCCCCCCGCCCGGTGTCAGCCAGGTCGCCTGAGGGAATGCTCGAGGCCGTTTGGGAAGGCTTGTGGTCCAGCTGGATGGAAGGCTCCAGCATGGGACCCGACCCAACAGGTGGATTCAGATGGTGAGAGGGGAGGGAGGGGAGACTGCTGGGCCCCCAGCCATGGGCCCAGCTACCAGCTCGGCCACCTGCTGACATCCCAGTGGCCTTCCACAGATGCTGTGGAGCCTGGGGTGCCAGGGAAGGACAAATCCCTTAGAACAGGAGCCCGAACTGAGCTTTCCAGAAGCCCAGTAAATGGCCACTCCTTACTTCCTTATTTCTTTCTAGTCCTGCTAAGAAATGAGGTACTATCCCTACAGCTTAACCTTTGGCCGTGGTGTCAATCAGCGTCCTGGCTGCCTGGTGCCCAGCCTCAGCCGGGCTCCAGGACAGGACGGCAGGATGGGACAGCGGGAGGCCCACAGCCACGTGACTCATCCAGGAGGTGACGCCCTCCCCGCCCAGTGCCGCCTTCAGATGAGATCACAGCCCCAGCGGCCCCTCACCACACCCCCTGTGGCTCCAATCCCAGCAGAGGCTGAGCTCCGTCCCCTCGGCCAGTGTGCTTTGCACACTTTTGCCCACCATCCATTTTACAGAGGAGAAAACAGCTCTCCTACGGGTGGGGCTGCCCCGCAGTCCCCGAGGCCTGGCCAGGTGATCGGGGACATGGAGACTCTGACACCATCCCTGGGGGCGGGCAGCGGGTTTTAGCTCTGGAGTCGGGGGTGGTCAGATCCAGAGGGCCCACACTGGAGCTGGGCCGCAGGAGCCGTCCTGGGCTGGGCAGCCCCGGCCTCGCCCCTCCTCCAGCCCCGATCACCCCTGCCACTGCCGGCACTCAGGCGTTCAACCACCGCCCCCTTCCTGGCACCGCCATATTCCCTCACCCATCCACCGCGTCTCCGCAGCCAGGTCGCCAGGGTCTTGCGCACGAACTCCCCGAGGCAGTCAACGAGGGCGTGGACCAGGGCGGGCTGGGCCTGTCGCATGCAGTCCACGGCCAGCCCCGCAGCCACTGAGTACAGGGACACAACCTTGCCCCAGGTGATTCCTGCAGGGAGAGAGATGGGTGCTGGTCACCAAAGGCCACCAAGACCCAGCTTGAGGCCAGCCCGCAGGGTCACGTGAGGGGGCTGAGCCTTTCTGAGCCACACCCCTGCCATTCCGCTGGTGACTGGGGTCGACACCCGGGGCAGCCTCAACCCACAGCTCCCACCAGACGGGGAGCTCGGTCAGCTGGCGGCTGTGCGAGTCCCAGCCACCGTCTGCTGCAGATCAGTCCTGCCACCGTCACACGTCGTTCTCAGGCGGGGATGTCTCGAGCCTGCATTACACACCTGCACACCTGGGCCAGGGCCTGGCGATGACCCTGCACAGCCCAGTATCTGCTGGAGGAGGTGATGGAGCAGAAAGGCAAAGAGGAGGCTGAGCAGGTCAAGGGGGCTCAGTGACTCGGCACTGGATGTGATAAACAGGAAGCAGCTTCCATCTGTGCCTGCCCCCAGCACAGCCCTGCGAGGACAGAGGATGTTCTCCATGTAAAGAAGCTGAGGCCCCGGGAGGAATGGCCTTGCCCAGACCACCAAGCTACTGGGGGCAGAACTGAGATGGAGCCCACCTGGGAGGAAAGACAGACGAATGACAGTCTGGGGAACAGTGCTTGCCAGTTGTATAAGGTTCCTTAATATAGGAAGAGATTTTATAAATCAATGAGAAAAAGAGAGAAACCTTTCAAAAGAAATACGAACAGAATACAAACAGCTGATTCACAAAAGAAGAAGTATTAACAGTACACCAGACACATGAAAGATGCTCACCCTCACCGATACACAAAGAAGTAAGTGTACATTAGAACGAGATGTAAATTACAGTCTATCAGACAAAATTCCAAGTGGCAATGTGAGGATCCATGTAACTCTGCAGCCTGGTAACTGTGATGAGAAAGACAGCTGGAGGGCACCAGCACCACCTGTGAAAGGACACAAACATGGGTGCCCCGCCTGAGTCCTAGAAGGAAGCAGCACAGGCAGGGAGGAAGCATGCCCCTCAACCCATGTTCACACCACAGCTGGGACAGTCTGTCATAAGAGCACAAGTCAGTGCGAATGAATCCCTGTTCACAGTCGCCAAAAGGTGGAAATGACAAAACATAAATAAGCAGTGAGTGGAAAAGCACAATGTGGTCCAGCCACACAGCAGAATGATACTTGGCCTCAAAGTGGAAGGAAGCACTGACAGGGCCACAACCTGATGAACCTTGAAAACATCGCGCTCAGTGAAAGAAGCAGACTTGAAAGGCCACACATATCGTATGAGTCCATTCCTATGAAATGTGCAGGACTGTCAGATCCGTGGAGACAGAAAGCAGACCAGTGGTCCCTGGGGGCTGCAGGAGGGGGCCAGGCAGTGACAGCCTAATGGGAATGGGTGTTCTTCCCACTGGCAAAGAACTTGGAGAGGACGCGGTTGCACGATACTGTGCATGCATTCAGCGCCACTGAATCACACACTTTAAAATGGTTAACTGGGACTTCCCTGGCCGTCTAGTGGCTAGGACACTGTGCTTCCACTGCAGGGTGAATGGGTTCAATCCTTGGTCGGGGAACTAAGATCCCACATGCCGCGTGGTGTAGCCAATAAATAATAAATAAATAAAATGGTTAATTGTACGTCATGTGAATTTCACCTCAACAAAAATTTTAAAACCCCATAAATCAGGCCAGGCCACTCCCCAACCCTCCTGTTACTGTCCCTTCCCATCTCCTTCAAAGTAAATCCAAGTCTGAAGTCCCACCTGAGCTGGCTGCTGGCCCCTCTGAGGCCCCCTTGTCCTGCGACCTGGCCTCATGCATGCTATCCCAGCCTCACCGCTGCCTGCAGGGCTTCCTCACCCCCAGGCCTCTGCCCAAGGTCCTCCCTCTAAGGGCCACGCAGACCGTGATGGCATCAGGTCCTGGTGACGCTGCCGTCACACCACGCTCCCCATTGACCAACTGCTCGTGGGTGCCAGCCCTGGCGGGCTCTGTGCTGCTCACAGCTGTGCCCTTGACACCCCCAGGCTTGGCGTCCCACAGGTACCCACCACCACCAGGGGACAGGTGAAGGGTCAGCATGGCAGGGCGGGGATCAAGAGAATGAACACGCGTTCTGCGGTGCTGTGTGGAGAGGTGAGCTCCACGTGATGGCCACGTTTTACCTGGAGAGGAAAGCCCTGGTCCGGAAGGTGCCGGCAGGGTGGTCTCTGGGAGGTGGGGCTCAGGTATGTCCTATTTTCTTTGAGGTCTTTGTGTTCATTTTTACGGAGATATAATCTCACTAGCGTAAATTCATCCTTTTAAAGTGTGAGATCCAGTGTTTTTAGCATATTGACTATGTTGTACAACCATCACCACTATCGAATTCCAGACATTTTCACTCCAAATCACTGTCCCCAGGAGCATCATGCCCCTGTCACCCCAGCCCTGGTAACCTCTAATCTACTTTGTCTCTGTGGATTACCTGTTCTGGACGTTTCACGAACGCAGTCACACAGTATGTCCCACTTTGTGTCTGACTCCGTTCACTGAGCAAAATGTTTTCAAGGTTCCTCCGTGCTGTCCTGGTGTGGGCACCTCATTCCTTTTTACGGCCGAATAATGTTCCATCCAGTGGATGGACCACCCATCAGGAAACGAACACGTGGGCTGTTGGCCCCTCCGGCTGTGGGGATACGCGGCTCTGAACACTCGTGTGCAAGCCCTTGTGTGGACATGTGGCTTCCTTTCTCAGGGGTCAAAACCGAGGAGCAGAACTGCCAGGTCAGGGGGTGACCCCGTCAGAGTTACCATTGGAGAAGCTGCCAGACCACTTCACGCCCTGACTCTTCACAGCCTCACCCGTGCTGGGTTCTCTGAAGTTTTGCCTTGAGTGCCCCAGTGGGCGCGAGGTGGCATCTTTTTGTGGTTTGATGGGTGTTTCCCTGGTGACTGATGATACTGAGCAACTTCTCATGCACGTACTGGCTGTTCATACATCTTCCTTGAAGAGATGTCCATTCAGACCCTTTGCTCTTTTTAAAGTGAGGTGGTCTTTTTAGTACTGATTTCTGAGAGTTCTTTATCTCATGTGTTTTCTGATCTTTCCGTGGTGAAATATTTTGCTCTTGTAATGAGAAGAAAAAAATGAAAACACTTGCCAACTTTCAGTTTTTCCACTGAAGGGAACCAAGAAGCGCCTGCAGCCAAGACGCAGCCTGGAACAGCGCCCCCTGCCTCTGCCTTCGCGGGGGCTCAGCCACGTGGGGAGGCCACCTGGAACCCTGCCCTGCAGTCCTCGAGCCGTCCACGTCACCGGCTACAGCCAGAGCAGGTGAGGGGCCGGCCGGGACGACGAGGGGGAGGAATATCCAGCCCGGGGGGTCAGCGCGTGCAAGACCCAGCTGCTTGGGAGAGGCTGCGGGCAGAGATGGGCAGGGCTGGCAAGCATCTGATGGCTGGAGCTTGCCTGGTGGCAAGAGGGCCTGAGGACCGGGAAGGCTAGGATGAACAAGGGGTGAAGGGAGACCTCGGGTGGGTGGGAAGCGGGAGGGTGCGTGGGGCAGCCACGGGCTGGTCGGGGGGTGGGCTGAGAGCCCGTCGGCAGCACAAGGGGCGGCCCGCAGCCCTGTGCTCCACGGAGCCTGTCCCTGCTCCCCTTTCAGGTGGCTCTGAGGTCCACAGAGGTTAAGAACCACTTGCAGGTCACAGAGCCCATGAGGGGCTGGGCGCCCCAAAGCACCAGAGGGGCAGGTGGCGGTGTGGAGGCCACCACGAGAAAAGGGTAGGGCCAGCTGGGTGGGGCGGGGATGCTTGATCGCAGAGAAGTACATCCTGCTCTGGTTTCAAGCGAAAAATCACGGGCTTTAAACTGAACTCCCCAAGTGAAAGAAGCCAGCCGCTGGTGCCCTGTGCCCATTCATCACGGCCACACCTTCCTCCCCGCCCCTCCCCCTCCCCGCCCTGCCCCAGCCCCCGCCTCGTCCTTCCAGAACCCAGAGCCCTTCTGGGCACATCTCCGGCCCCTCCCGCACTGAGCAGGCGGGGCAGGCAGGGGTGGGTGCTTCGTCCCGGCTGCCCGCCCTCTGTCCCTGTCCACACACCAGCCACCCTCCCCGGGGCCCAGCCGCCCCGCCCCCCAGTCCCAAACACCAGCCGCCGCAGCCGCGCTCTCAGAGCTGACCTTCCTGTTAGAGCAGCCCTTGCTCTAAGCAGCCGCCCGCCCGCGGAGACAGACACCGGCGGCCACCCACGCGCCAGCGTCAGGCCTGACGGGAGCCCAGGGAGGGCCCAGGGCGGCTGTCAGCTCCCTTCCCTGGCCTGCCCAGGTCACCGCGAGGGCACCCGGGTCAGGACTGCCAGACCTCCTGGGCATCCCCCGCCTCTCACCCGCCCCCCCCCCCCCCGGCCCCCCCCCCCCCCCGTGAAGTCCTGGCCACCCAGTGACGCCCTGGAGGCTGGGTCCTGCAGCCGGGAGTCCCGTGTCCCTGCCACGCCGGCCTGCCCACCAGGGGTCGGAGGAGCCTCCCCGAGAGGGGACAGTGCAGGGCAACACCCAGAGGGTGCGGTCAGCGGGCTGGGGGCCCTCTGATGGGATGCGGCAGCCCCAGCCCCTCCACCGGCCTCCTTTCTTCTGCCGGTGGGCGGAGGTCCCCCATGGGGTGGGACTGTGGCTCCCGGTGCCCTCTGCCCCAAAGCCCTGCTGCCGTCCCAACCATCCGACGGCTAAGGAACGGCAAGGGGTGTTCCAAGGTCACGCCGCTGGTCGACGACAGACCCAAAGCCGCCTCGCAGAAGGGGCCCGTCCTCCCCAAAGCCCTTCCCACCCTCGATACCACGTGGCCACTCACACCCCCACTCCACCAGGATGCGCCCCGGGAACACTCTGGCTCTGGGGCCCCCAAGCCCCCCTCCTTGAGGGCTGGGACTGGCCATCCCGTCCATCACAGGGGTCCCCAGGCCCAGGGCAGCGCCAGACAGTGCTGGGGAAACCTCGGTGGGATCGGCTGACTGGGCAGGTGCTGCACTGGGCTGGGGGCTTTGGTCACCTGATGGCCAGCAGCGCCTGGCGCCTGCTACGTACCAGGACACAGGACCGAGGTGGAAACGCAGGGCAGGGGCGCCAGAACAGGGCACGAGGTCACGGGTGGGGAGACAAGGTCTGTGGACCTCAGGGAGCCCAGCAGGTCCCAGGAGGCGGCGTGGGAACGAGAGGCGGTTTTGGGGGATGAGTCCTAGAGTTTCCTGGGAGCCTGGAGGCAGGTGTGCAGACCGGAAGCAGCACGAGCTGAACTCAGGGCGAGGGCACACGGAGAAGGGGCAGACGTCACCTGCTCCTAGGGCCCAGGTGGAGGCTCCGGGAGATCCACAGGTGACTGCGGGCCACCCGGGTGAGACAGGTGTGTCAACATTCTCCAAATGTGTCCCGGTGAGCCGCTCCACCAGGGACTCCCACCCTAGTGCACCCCTCCCACTATGGGGGCTGTTCTGCGACTTGCCTCTGACCAACAGACTCAGGCTCAGTGACACGGTGACTTCTTACGTCAAAAGAGCCTGGCGGCGCCCACTTGGGCTGCTTGGGACCTGCGGCCACGCCGTGAGAAGCCCAAGCCCCACAGGACATGTACAGGCCACATGCAGAACAGCCCCGCCCCACTCCAGCCAACAGTCAGCACCAACTGGCAGCCTGGGACATGCAGCCCAGACAGGGCTTCCGGTCACAGCCCCAGGACCGCACAAGAGGCCCACTGTCCTTGGACCCAGGGAGGCTCCCCTGAGAGCCCACCCAGCGCTGCAGCCCCGGCCCTGACCCACAGACCCTGGGCCATGCCAGCAGTGTGGGCCCCCTGGACACACAGGCCTACCTGCAGAAAAGATCTGGGCTGCCACAGCCAGGAAGGCGTCGGTCACCACGGTCTCGGACTGCAGGGGGATGTTCAGCTGGCGGGCCACGTTGCGGTAGACGCTGGGCCGGATCAGCTCCAGCTCGTCCGCTGCGGTCACACAGGCGGGTAAGAGGTGGTCACACCCACGGGGTGTGGGGCCCACGCGGGCCTGGGGCCAGCCCACTCCTCAGCCTGTGGCCACAGCTGGGGACCCTGATCCCAGCCCTATTCCTGACCCCTCGACCTGTCACATTCCCACCCACGAGACACCACCCCTAGAACCCCCGGGGACAAGACCAGGGAGGTGCGGTGGGCACCCCCAGACCTGCCTCTGGGGCCTGTCCCCTCTGCCGAGCCAGCCACGCCCACCCTCCCCCCAGGGCAGAGCCGGCTGGGCCAGTGGGGCGGGCACCCTAGCAGTGCCTGATCAGTGACTCACAGCCCACAGCCAGCTGCATGGGAGGGCGGTAGTCTGACAAGCAAGCAGCCAGCCCAACATGGGTGTGGACTGTTCCAGCGACCCCACACCGGTGGGGAGCCCGGCTGCTGCCTCACAGGGGTGTCCTTGCTCAGGCGCCAGCACCATTCAGTGAACCAAGAAAAGGAGCCACTACCCGGGGCCGCCAGCACCACACAGGGTCAGACCTGGGCTCCTGGGGCCAAGCAGGGGTATCTGGATGGGGCGGCCACACGTGGCAGCGGGAGGCCCTGTCAAGGGCACTGCCTGCACGTGTGCCCGCTGCAGCGCCCCTGGCAGTCACGTGCCAGGAATCCCACACAGCCCTCGGACTGGGCGTCCCCCAACCCAGCCGCCTCTCCGCCAAAGCAAACAGGAAAATGCTTCCTACTGGAAGTCCAGGCGATAAGGGCTCCGAGTCACCCATGGGGCCAGATGCACTCCATCTAATTAATTAAGATCTGGAACCAGAGGAGGACTGCGGGGAGGCTGGCAGAACGATGCGGGAGGGAGCATGGAAACTCCCAGGGCTGGCCTGGCTGTTCCCACATACAGACCCCGGGGTCTACCGGGGACTGACCCCAACTCGACCCGGGCCTCTTCCTGTTTGCTGCTGCTCCAGGAGCGGGGCGTCTGTGCTCGGGAGGAACTGGGGGTACGCTGGGGACAGGGAGACAGCTCCAGACCATGACTGGTGGGGAAGGGGCGGTCACGCTGAGCAGCTGCAAGGGCGAATGCTTTGGGGGTTCAAGCCATCTCCCTCCAGGGTCCCCTTAGCCATCTCGCAGGAACTGAACCCCAGGGACTGGCCGTGATGAGGCCGGATGCTGGAGGAGGGCCTGAAGGCCTGGCCCCTGAGAGGGCCAGCGCAGGGCACTTGGCCGGACTCTGCTCCTCCAGCCCTGGCTGGAAGCATCCCAGGCTCTCCGGGTCTGAGGTCACAGTGCTGAAGGGACAGATACCGGCGCGGTCTGATTAGCAGAGCCCAAAGCAGGGCTTTTCAGAAAGTTCAAACAGTAGGGACCCCGGGCCCAAGGTAGAGGCAGCCCCGAGCCCCTGCTCGCAGGCAAGGAGATGGAGCTGGGGGCAGGCAGGGCAGAGGCAGGATCTCCTCCTGGCCACTCCAGGGGCTCTTGGGAGGTCAAGACACCATATTCACCAGGACCCTCTGGAGTGCTCCCCCAGTGTTGTCCCCACAGCCCAACTGGAAGAGGTGGCTCGGGCGCTGACCTCAGGGGAGTCCAGGCACTCTGGGCCTCTGGCTGATCCCCCAAACCCCACTTGCTCCCCTCCCCTGAGACCCAGGCGGGACACCGCCCCCCTGGCAGCCCTCTGCAATGGCTCCTCGGCATCTGTGTGTCTCCCCCGGGCCCCAACACTCCTGTGCAGGCCAGGTCTACACAACCCTGCCCCCAGGGTCCACACAAAACAGGGGCAAGCAGACGCGCGAGCCAGCCTGAGGAGGGGAGGGCGTCCGCTTTCACAGGGTGTTCCCTCCAACCAGGGCTCCGGGGCCAGCCTCTCCCCTGGAGAGGCACCCGGTCAGGGCTCCATCTGTGCTGCCATACCTCCCCATGTGCACACGCTTGGGGTGGAACTGTCACACTGGATGGGGCAGGGCTGGGCAGTCTCAGTCCCTGTGGAGAGGTGGACTGACTGAGTCAGCTGGGCCGGTCCCTCCCTCTCTGGGGTCCTTGGAGAAGGTGGAGACAGTTACCGGGCTGTGTGTGACCCCACAGTCAAGTACCTCCAGATGTCCACTCAACTAGCGTCCAGGTGAGATCTTGGGCTACCTAGCCTCATGGTGGCTCAGCTCTCCTGGGGCACTAAATTTCGCCGGGAGCCCTAAGAGGCCTCCAAATCAAGAGAGAAGAGCAACCCATGGCAGGATTTGAGCCAGTAACTGCAAGGACCTATTTTCCAAAACAAACAGCAGGACACGTGGTCCGACAAAGGATTTTTGTGCCCAGCTGAGCACAAGGGTCACTCAGGAAGTTTAGCCACCAAAACATCATTCTTCCCGGAGCTGTCTATCCTTTATTTCCAGAGTGTCTGAAATCCCGGCTGAGCAGGCAAATGCGGGGAGGTCTTTGGCGGGTGCACAGGCGAGCCTGAGGGGGGACTGGAAGAGTGGGGTGCTGGAGGGATCATCGGTCTGGGTGCGCCCGCCTTGTGCGCCGGGTTACTCAGGGCACTCCGGACCAGCCCCCTCTCTGCCCCAGAGGGGAGAACGAGGCCCAGCAGGGGCGGGTGCCGGTGCGGTCACCGGCGGGCGGGCCAGTGCAGGGACAGCTGTACCCCGAGGCGCAGCGGGGCCGCCCCGCCGGCCGGCTTTGGAGGGTAAGCCTGGGATCCCGCCCGCCGAGGCCCGCACTCACCCAGGCGCAGCAGCACCGTGCACACTTCGGCCAGGCGGCCGCCGGGGGCGGGCGCGGCGCGCTCCGGCGCGCTCCAGGCGAGGCCGGCGCGCAGCAGCCGCGCGTGCACGAACTCCCGGCCGAGCGCCTTGGCCTGGGCCACCAGCTCCTTGTCGGTGGGCGAGCGGTCAAAGGCGTCCATGATCTCGGCAGCGAAGACCGAGGAGCGCCGCAGCACCTCCATGGCGGGGACGCGGGCGGGGGGCGCCGCACCTGCGGGCAGAGGGTGCTCAGACGGGCCCGCCCCGCCACCCCGGCCTGGCTGGCGGAGGGGAAGGTCGGCCGCGCGAGAACGGCGGGCAGCTGGGAGCGTGGAAGGGGCGCGGCGTGCGCCTAGATCGCGTGCGTGCGCCGGGCCGGAGCGCACAGGGAGGCCGGGCCGGCGCGGCTCTGGGGAAGGGCTTCGGCCAGCTGCGGGTAAGCGTTCCTGTTTGTGCCCCAAATCTTTAAAAGCGCGGTGTCACCTTCTTTTAGATGCCGAACTCAATCACAAAGATCCCCACGGGTGCCGGGGATAGGAAGGACCTCGGGGAAATGGCGATTGGCTCTGGGGCCGCCGTGCCCGCGCTCGAAGACGAGTGCGCGGGCGGCGGAGGCGTGGGCGGGGGGCATGGCCCGACCTGCTCCCAACCGGTGGCAGCCGGGACCCCGGCCCGGCCCAGCGTCCGGGGCCACCACCCACCTCCGCGCCTCGCCGTCCTCGGTGTTTGTCCCCGGCCTCGCCGTTCCCGTGGCGCGGCCCGCCCTGCTCACCTCTCCCGCCGCATGTCTCGGGCGCGGGGGCTGGGGAGGAGTGCTGGCCTCAGTATCTGCTGGCCGCCGTCTCCGCAGATCTGGATCCTTCCATTCAAACTGGCGAGGACGCGCGCCCCGCCCCGGCGCCCGCCCTGTCCACGCCTGAGCCGGGCTGGAGCGCTGAGGGCGCGGGGTCTCGGGCCCTACGGGGGCTCCGGCGGCGGCGTCGGGGGCGAGGCGAGTGCGGGCAGCACCGCGCAACTTTCCGCCGGGCGATAGGCGAGGCTTGGGGCTTTGCCTTCTAAGGGAAAGGCAACCCCGGGGCGGAGCCACGGCCAGAGCTTCCCCGCCGCCTCACCGCTTAAGGAGGCCCGAGCGAGTTCCCGGTATGCGCTCAAGGAGGGCCACGGGGCAGGAGCTGTCCCCCACTGTCCCAGTGATTAGGACCTGGCTCTGGCACCAGCCGCCTGGATTCACAGCCGGCTTCATTATCGTATTGATTCCTAGAGGTTCTTTATATATTCTGGATGCTGTGTCCCTGGTCTTACACATGGCTTGGTATTGGACGTGGGTACTTGGATCTGCATTGTATGGAAGGTATTGCAAATGCCTTCTGCCATTCTGTGGTTTGCTGTTGCTTATACTGAACAGGAATTTTCTCAGTGACGTCCAATTTATCGATCTTTTCTCATGTTTAGTGCTTTTTTATTAGGATATTCTCCCGTGTTTTCTTTTAGAAGCTTGTTTTAGCATTCACATTTAGATCTATGATGGATCACAAATTAGTTCCTGTGAATATTGTGGTAGGGGGTCAGAGCTCATTTTCTCTATATGGATATCCAGTAGACCATCATGAGTTATTGAAAGGGCCCTCATCTTTCCACTGAATTGGAGAAGAGTCCCCATGATAAACCAAGTGACTGTGTATGTGAGGATCTGTTCTGGACTCTTTTCTATCCCACTGGTCTATTTCTCTATCCTTTTTTTTTTTTTTGGCATGTGGGATCTTAGTTCCGTGACCAGGGATTGAGCCCACGGCCCCTGCCTAGGAGGCACAGAGTCTTAACCACTGGACCACTAGGGAAGTCCCTATTTCACTATCCTTGAGTCAACATCTCTATCCTTGAAACAACAGGATGAACCCACTTGCCTTAATTCACATATATACAACACTTCACCCAATAGCTGTTGAATACATGTTCTTTCCATGTGCACATAGGATGTTAAACAAAATAGACCATATCCTGGGCCATGAAGTCTCAACAAATTTCAAAGGATTGAAATTATACAAGTGTGTCCTCTATGAATTAAACTAAAACTCAAAAACAGGAAAACTATCAGAAAGCCTCCAAGTACTTGGAAATTAAATATCACACTTCTAAATAATCAGTGGGTCAAGTAGTAATCACGAGGGAAGTCGTAAAATATTTTGAAGTGAACTACAGTGAAAACATGACATATCAAATGCTGTGGGATATAGGTAAAGCAGTGCTTCAAGGAAAATTTATAGCTTTAGAAGAAAGGTTAAAATTAATGCTCTAAGCTCCAATTCAAGAAGCTAGAAAAAGAACAACAAATTAAATCTAAAGATGAGAGGAAATAAAAATAAAAGCAGAAATTAATGAAACAAAGCAAAAATCAGGGAAACTCAACCAAGCCAAAAGAGATTAATAGAATGGATAATCCCCTGGAAATAATGGTAAAAAAAGAAAACACAAATTCCAATGTCAGGAATGAAAAGAGGACATCACCACAGATACTACAAACATTAAAAAGCTAATAAGAGTATATTATGAACAACTTTATGACAGTAATTTGAAATTTAAATGAAATAATTTACCCAAACTGACGCTAGAAGCAATAGAAAATCTGGATAATCCTATAACAATTAAATAAATTTAATTCATAATTTAAAATCTTCCCGCAAAGAAAATTCTAGGTTCAGATGTTTTCCTTGAGGAATTCCTCTAAACAGTTGAAGAAATATCACTGACCTCACACAAACCTGCACAGAGAATAGAAAATGAGGGAACATTTCCCATCTCATTTTGGGAGGCCAACACACCATTGATGCTGGCACCTATCAGGAACCTGTTGGGCCTCTGTCTGCCTTGGCTTCCCCGTCTGTAGAATAGAGAAAATAATAATACCTACATTTTGTGGACCAAATTAGTCAATCCATGTATAAAAGTGCTTGTCATATAGTAATTGCTCGGGAATTGGAGCTGTTTTTTCAGAAAAGCTTTCAAGTGTGAGTGCTCATTTTATTGCACTCTTTAACGCACAGTCTGGAGCAGGACAGGGTCTGCCTCTGGCATCTCTGAAGAGCACTAAGGTTTGGGATTCCCTGTATTTTATAGGTGGAACTATGGAAGCTCAGGATGGGAAAGGGATTGCTGAAGGAGTCAGTGCAGGACTGGGCACAGGCAGATTGGGACAACCCCCCACCCCCGCCCCAGGCCCATGGAATGTATCTCCAGCAGGGGAAGAACCTATGCCCCCTCCCCCGCCCTGCAGTGGCCTCAGGCAGCTTCCCACCCTGCCCACAGCCTCAGTTTCCTCCTACACAAAAATAGGATCACGTTTTCTACTTCCTGTCTCCTGGGCAGCATGGATGGGTGTGGAAAGACTCGTGCGCCCTGACACAGGAGTGATAGATGCATCTGTTTAGCGTGCTCCCTTCAGTACAGGAGCTGCCGTGCCTGGATCCAGCCATGCCTGAACCAGTGGACCTCTCCCTGGACATTTTAGACCAGCTCAAAGCCGTGCCTCAGGATACTCACTGCAGGATACTGAGGACCCTGAGGGACTGGAAGCGGCCCAAGTGTTTATCAAAAGGGGAGGTTAAGCCCATCTGGAGTATCCAGACCACGGACCCTGAGCCAGACCTTATAGAGCCCGGGTCAGGCTAGAATCAGTTGAGACCTTCCTGTCCCTTGAGGACTGGAGGAGGCTGACCTGATCAGCCCAGTCCCAGCCCCCAATCCCCCAAGTGTGCGTAGACTTTCCTACAGTTGCCATTGGCACTGAGTTTCCGCCTCTGCAGATTTCCTGCTCTCCGCTCTTGCCTTTTGTCCAATCCCTCTGTCTGCCCTGCAATTGACCCAGTGGGTCCCTGGTTGCCGAGAAGCCTTCTGAGTGCCGACACCAGCCCAAACTGGCTTGAGCACAGGGAGCTTTGTTGATTTATGTGACTAAATTGTCCTGGGAGACACCTACTGGTTTCAGGCATGGCTGGATCCAGGCGTCTCTCTTTCTATCTGTGAGTCTGTCTGCTCCTTTGTGACAGCTCTGCTCTCAGGCAGGCTGTCCCTGAGTGATGGCAGAAGACGCCACAGCTCCCTGTCTACACCGCACAAGTTCAGTCTTTCCCAGTGGGAAAAAAAGCCAGTCTTCCCAGGGAGCTCCTGGGGATGACCTGGGGCCAGCAGCTTCTGTCCCGTGCCTATCTCTGAACCAGCTGTGGTTGGAGATGGGAAGGTGCCAGCCTTTCGGGCCCGGTCACATTTGTGGCTCTGGACAGGGTGCAGGGGCCTATCGGTGCCACCGAACAACCTGGAGGAGGGTCCTGGCTTTCCATAAAAACCTGCTCAAGTCTGCTGTGTGGGCCACAATTTGGGGAGCAGAGGGCTCCATAACCCAGTGACACCAGTGTAAGAAAGTGAGTGGCAACATTCACCTCGACGTGGACAAGGGTCCTGCCTGGTCTGCATATGGCCACGCAGAGGGACAGGCCCAGGAGAGTGTTGTCCCCGCCCCCAAAGCAAATGCCCAGGCCCCTGGACTACCCTGTCCACAGCCTCCTTCAGAGCCCGAGCCTGGCCCTGGAAGGGACTGAGTGGCTGGGTGTGGACGTGTAGGGCTCACGTGCAGGCTCTGGCGCGCAGGGCCAGCTGTGGGCTCAGCAAGGGTCTTGGCAGGAGGCTGGCCTCCCGGTGGGTCTGGGCCTTGCACCTGGTAGGCGCTGGCCTGCATGGTCTATTGAGTGGCTCCTGGGCTCCTCCTGTGTCCAAGGATCCCCGGGCCCGCGGGGCCGGCCTCACCACAGCCTCTTCGCTCTCCTCTCACAACGTATCCCGAGAGCCACTTCTGCCTCCTTGCTGCTAGTGCCCCAGTCCAGGCCACTGCCGCCCACCCCCTCTCCAGTCCGCCCTGTGCACGGGGACAGTGTCCTTTCAAAATCAACCAGATTCGTCAGCGCAAGGCCAGGGCCTCTCCCCTCTCCACCTGCTCGGGAGGCTTCAGCTGAACAAACCCACTTGTGCCGCAGGGCCTTTGCACGGGCTGTTCCTTCCTTCCTAGATTGTTACAGCTCTGCTCTTGTGTCACTTCCTCAGAGAGGCCCCCTCCTACGCCTGCCTCTCCCTTTGCCCCGGCTAAAATCTTCCCACCCCACTGTGCACAGCAGATCCCTGCAGGGGTAGCTGAAGACAAGGTGGTCTGGGAGGACGTGGCACCCTAGGGGTGTGACACACTCTGCCCCTCACGCACCCCCAGTCTGCCCTCCCGGGAGTCCAAACCATCCCTGACAGTAGTTGTTCACATATAGTATTGTGTTGTGTGTGTTCTGCTTACCTCTGGGCAGCTGTCCACCTAGGCCGCCCGCCTCCTTCTCAGGCTACCCCCGGGCCCAGGCGGGTGCCTGTGCTGAGCACATGTGTGGACAGAACCGAGGGCGGGGCCGGCTGTGACTACGGGCCCTACTCCTTCCAGTGGGTCCCCAGATCACCTGCTGTGTGGGGGGGGAGTTTATTCTAAACCCTGAGCCCTCCTGGCCCCTTTCCTCTTGAGGGCTGCGGTGTCCGCCTGGCCATCAGCGATTACAGTAGCGATGGGACACCTCCGGCTACAAGGAACAGAAAGCCAGCCCTCAGACAGGCCAGGGACTTACGCTCTCAGCTCCCGGAAGGAGGAAGAGATAGAGGGGCAGCGGGCCTTCCCAGGCACCAGCCTCTCTGCAGGGGGTTCCACGTGCCACGTCAGTGGAAGCAGGAGACGGAGGCTCCTGACCCAAAATGTAGAGTGTCCTTGAACCCTGGAGACGTTTAAGGGATCCCAGAAGTGGGAGCTAATGAAGTACTCAAGAGGCCGTCAGTCGTAACCCTCAGGCTCGGCCCAGGCCTCGGGTGAGGTCACCGCCGGCTGCAGATCAGAGCGCCCCAGGGGCGGGAGCCTCAGGGGTGACACGCAGGGTCACAGTGGGCTGCCTCCCGGGGGTCTCCCCTCAGGCTTCTCTGGCCCCCACCCCACCCCAGGGACTAAAAGGTGGGAGCTGCACCCCAACTCCCA